ACTTTTAAGAAGTTTTATCTGTCCATCAAACACCTTGAGTAATTAATGCTAATGCCAGCGGTATTGTAATCTTCAAGTTTTATAACTCAAAAAGTACTGAAAAAATATTTCGTTATAGTGTTTTGAAAAGCTCTCGAGATAAGCTACAAGAATATATAACAAAAAACGAAGGATTGCGTTAAAAAAATTCAAAATAACCTTTCCTTGACCTTGACAACGCCATCCAAGATCAAATCAATAATACCATCTTATGTCCTTTTCGAAGTCAAAAACTTTTGTCTGAAACATTGTTCGATTTAATTTACGCAATGTTTCCAAGATATTTTAATCCTTTAAAATGGGACACTGTGCGTGCGTGCGTGCATGGGTGCGTGCGTGCGTGCGTGCGTGCGTGCGTGCGTGCGTGTGTGCGTGCGCGCGCGCGCGCGTGTGGTGTGTGTGTGTGTGTGTGTGTGTGTAATCATTATGCAATATAATTACTTATAATTATAATAAATATTTTTTATACCAATGTTAATTCTAGAAATTTATATATTCGGTTCATTTTTATTTCAATTTATTATTTAATAACAGAAAATATATGTTTTCTTCCCAAAATAAATTTCAAATTTTCTTCATTTTTATCCTTTTAAATAATTATGTTTTTTAAAACATAATAACGCAGTAAAAGACAATAATGCAATTTTTTTTTGAAGTTTCTACTTTCCAAAATGCATATTTAAAATATTTTTATAATTTACGTACGAAAGAAAAATTTTTAAACAAAATGTGATTTTTTTTTCGAAATTATTGTTTACTTTATAGCTCATAACTTTTTTATTGATAAAAATATGTATATTTGGCACTTATACTTCTTACTGTCTGATGGTTAGATTAAAAAAAATTTTTTTAAATATGTTCATTTTTATGAATGTTCTGACAAATCAAAGTTGGCTTGGGAATGTGGTTCCAAGTATGGCATTTATGTTACAAAAAGGGTCAAAGTGTTTTTAAGGGTTAATATATTTATTTCACTTTATTCTAGATTCCAACAAAGATTTCACAGCAAAGATTGACGGAAATATTTTAAACTATTTGAATGTTATAATTATTAATAATGACAATACTTTAGAATTTGATTGGTTTCACAAACTTTTTCGGGAAAATATTTAAATTTCATGACATTCTTTTCCGCACATCCTGTTTCACAGAAAAGAGGCGTCATAATTGGAATGATTGGTAGAACCTTCCTCCTGTTACTTGCAAAATTTCATAACAAGAATATTACTTTTGAAACAGTACTAAATAATGACTATCTACTAGATTTCATTTTTCATATTATAAATGAACGCTTAAAATCTTTTTGTTACAAACAAAATAATGACAAAAATAATGACAGACAATAAAGGAAATATTATATGGATTACGATTTCATATGTTTAATATCGGAAAAATTTAAAAACATAACGATAGATTAAAAACATAACGATAGATTTAAATATTAAACTAACTTTTTATAGTCTCAAAAAATGAATAGGTTTATTAAAGTACACAAAGATGTGAAATGAATCAAAGAAAATATATGTAATAATAGTTTATCAAATTTCATGTAATGATTGTAACGCAATCTACGTAGAGCAAACAGATGGGAAATTAAGAACCAAGATTTCAGAACACAATAATCACATAAATAATCACTATCTTTCAATCGATAATCACAGATATACTGGGTCACAATCACGAATTTGATTGGACGAGCGTAAAAATTCTAAACACAAAAGATTTTTGAATAAATGTTTAACATCTAAAATATTATTTATTAAACTATAAAAAAAATAGCTTAAATTTACAAATAGATACTAAATGTCTTAATCATGCATACGTAAATATTCTGAATGAATTTCTCATGTGTGTTAGTGACTTTACATGATTGCTGGTGACATTTTATTCTGTATACAGAGTGTCCCGTAAATTTTGGCCAATCGCTTTTATGTAGATAGAGCGGACTAAACTGAGTTGAGAAGTAAACTCTCCATTTTGCAATTTTCGCAATAGTTAACATGATATTAATTAATAAAAATTGCCAAATGTTGGTCTTGAATAATTTTTTACTCAAATACTACAATTTTACAAAAAAACTGCAAGAGACAAAAATTATTATTTATTTTCTTCTCATATAACGCTAAGAATTTTTTCAGAATTTTTTATCAATTTTTTAGTGCTGCATTTTCTTATTTTTACCAACATTAGAAAATACGGTATTAAAAAATTCTGAAAAAATTCTCAGAACTTTATGAGAAGACAATAAATGATATTTGTCTTGCAGTTTTTCTGTAAAGTTGTTAGTATTTGAATAAAAAATCATTCAAAACCAATATTTGGCAATATAAATTTAATAATTAATATCTTGTTAACTATTGAGAAAATTGCAAAATGGTAGAGGACTTTTCGACTCAGTTTAGTCCGCTCTATCTACACAAAAACAATTGGCCAAAACTTACGGGATTCCCTCTATATTAGATTGTCAAGAAAAAAAATTTTTTTAAATGGTCTTTCAGCTCAAAAGCTTTCATTTTATGCTAAAAGAACACCCCTAAATTTTTATCAAAAAATATTAAGATTTAGAGGAAGTAAACAATTTTTAAATCAAAATTTCGATTTTCCTTAATACATATTTGATTAGATCCAAAAATAGTTTATAATCTAGTTAAACTTAAAGTGCAACTTTTAAAGGCTCTGTAGGAAGTCCCAAGAAAATTCCAACTGGATCTGAACAATTTGAGAACTTACAATTTGAGGGAAGAAACGACCCATTTGAACGCTTGAAATCTTGCTAAAATCGACTTTAAACTCAAAATTTGATCATTTTATACATTAATCGAGCTGTATTTTTTAAATCGTATATCGTAGAACTAAATAAATGATTGCATCGTGTTCAGCGATCAAAAAAACATACAGTACTATATTTAAAATGGTTTTAAATTCGGTTTAAACCATTTTTCAAATCAAACATGTATTTAAAAAAATCGAAACTTTGATTTAAGAGTCGTTCACTAGCGATCTCTAAATCTTAATATTTTTAAATAAAGTTTAGGAGTGTTCTTTTGGCATGAAATAGAAGATTGAGCTGAGAAATCGATAAAAGAAAAATATTTTCTTTTTTCCTTGTCAATCTAATGTATATATATATTCATTTATTGACTTTTATCTTCATTTTGCGCACAAATAATCTTTTCAAATTCTGATACTGATATAGCTAACATCTTTAATTGTATCTCGTTGCTTTTTGACATGTGGAATCTAGGTTTTAATTTTTGTATTATAATATATTGTATTTCGCGCTCCTATTTTCAAGTGAGTCTGTATAACTTTAGCTATTATTTTAAAATATATAATAATCGTTTAAAACCTCATTGACATTTGCCAGTTTTGGACTATGAGAAAAATACAGAATTATGCAGCTGAATGGGGAGTCGTCTTACAGGAAGATAGAAACTCTTACTTTTTTTCATGTGATTTCGTTGATGATAACCCCAAATTTTGATTGAAACGTTGATTGAAACGTTTGATTGTAAAACAAACATTAAAATAAAATTTATCTACATTGTAATCAATGATTGTACCAAATATCACATCGCATTCTCATTTGCTTGATTTTTCTATATTAGTTCAATTTCGAGAGTCCATAACTAGAATTTTTGTTAAATGTTTTAACTTTCACAAATTTCTCACAGTTTTTTTCGATTGTTTAAAAAACTAGGGGCAAAACGGCTTACGAATTCGGATTAAACTCAAAATTTAAAAGAAACATTTATTCTGTTTCTTTTTAAAAAAAGTTTTTGAGGCCCTGTGTAATGCAATTTTATTATGATCTTGTATTTTCAGAAAAAAGGCTTATTATAAAATATTTTTCACTCATTTTATATATATATATATTTGCAATTATTATAATTTAAATATTTTTATAATATTTATTTTATAATATTTATCTTCGTACTTATTAAATTTCGTAGATCATATCGCCACAAGATAAGACTGGTAATTGACAATAATAAAATTGATAATTGATATGAGTATATAACATTAATTGTCGAAACAAGTTTAAGAGTTTAAAAGTTTTACTTCGATATTCTGACATTTCATTATTGTAATTTAAAAAAGAATAAATATTTGGATTTTGACGATAATTGTTAAAATTAGGAACGTAAAAATAATTAATCAATGATTTCTTTTATTATTTCTTGTATTTTTAGTTACTTTCACTCATAAATTCAATACTTTCAAGGGAGATAATCCAATAAAAAAATATTAACCTACAATTTCCAATATTCATTTGTATATAAATCAATTCTAAATGGAAAGTATAATAAAAAATAGTTTAAGTTAATAGTTAAGTAATACGCATTCGATAACTCTTTCCTAGATCGAAATGAATTGGAAATTGTAAATTAATATTTAGATTATCATGCTTATTACTATATGTTCAACTTTTTACATAACAATTCAATTTGTAAATCTTTTTGTAACATGCTGTAAAAGGTATCATTTAGGCAATCGATCGATTGATATTATAATCGTATTTCTCTTAATAATATTGAATTTATGAGAGAAAAACGGTCTGATTGGATTAAATAGTAATTCTGATGTAAAATAGACGAATCAGAATTTTCTGGTTAAATCTACTAGAATTCTGATTGATACAATTATTCTAAAATAATCTATAAAAATAAGAATTCTAATAAATTTTTCTAGAAGTATTGTATTTATTTTTCTAGAAGTATCAGTTAAAATTCCATTTATCTTGAATAAAATTCTACCAGAATAAAATTTAACCAGAAAGGTTCTGATTAATTTATTTTTAACCAAAAATTTTTTCATTGTAGAATAAATAGAACATCACACTTGGTTATGCTTAATTATAATATAAAAGTTAGTTATTTATACATATTGAATAAAAATTGAAATTTCTTAAATTCATCAATGTGGTAACCAACTAAAGGACAAAATGAGAGAAATAATACCTTGTACAAGCCACAGTGGAATCTGCAGGTCTTGACGCAGTGCCGACTCGATGGCGAATCCTTTGACTTCTGTCTTCAAAGTCGTACGAGGGATGATTCGCCATAATGCACGTTTTCACAAACTCATTCGTCGTTAGTATTCCCGCAAATTATATCTCACGTGTAGTGTATTAACTAACAACCATTAAACGTGACTCAATTCTTTTCTATATCTTTAATTTCTTTTTTTTTTTAATTCAGAATTGTTTCATAACATGCTGATTGATGACAAATTTTGTGTTAATTTTTTTACCTCGATTAATCCATCTACAAATCGATGTCCAAACAAAAGTATCCGTACGGAGAATACGCGGATTTGAACTATTGACGATGTCCCTGGGGAAGCCGCTTTATATATGAAAAGCGTTGGGTTTGTATGAGGGATGATCGATACCAACCCCTGGGCGGGTTTGTGGCCAATGGCGAGCCGAGACGCGTGTTGGACGTAACTATCAGACGCGCACGGGATTGGCGGGCAGACGCTCCAACGAGGATTTTATCGGCTAGGTCGACGTACCCCCACAGAAATTTTATTCGTCCCCACCTACTATTGCTCGTCGTCATTTCAACAGCAGACGCGGAGGCGGATTTATTTGTAGGCAACACGGAGAGAACATGACGAGGAGTGGAGAAATAATTTTTAAATTTCACCAAGCACGAATATTATCAACAGATGATTTACAACGTTCGAATAGTTAAGTTTGTCAATTTCTTGCACATTTTCGAAGATTATTGTATAAGAATATAATGACTTCGTTAAATCAATATATTTGACCAACTCAAAAGTTTGTATTGAAGGTGAAAAGGATCCGATGTTTGGATTAAAACGTATATTATTTAATTGAATAATTCGTATTCCACACATAAATATATCCAATATCTGACTCAACAAAGCATTATTTTATTTATTTGAGTTATCTCAATCGAGGTTTGTTTCACTTTATTTATTTTTGTACTTATCAAGTGTTAATGATTATCTTTATTTATTTCATTGAACGTTTTAGTTCATTTTGGGGTCCTCCTCATCGAATATAATAACAAAAAATTCTCCATTGAGAGCAAACATTATTTACAGATTGGCAGAAATGCAGCAATCAATACACTAAATGGGAAACGAAAAACAAAGCTCAGAAACATTGATTCACCATTTTAAGATTATAAATAAAAGATAAATACGAAAGTTATAATATATATTAAATATAAATGTCGTTCCTCTGAGTATAAAAAATCGTATCTGTTCGTCGTGATATGTTGTTTAAAAGTAAATTTTATGGAGAATTTTTTGTTACTATTTTGCTGAGGATGACTCCAAAGTGAGCCATTCAATAAAATAAATAAAGATAACTCAACACCTGAGTATTATCTGCATCTCCTAATTCTCCGCTTTTACAGCGTTTAATCCTCATTAGTCTTATCTAAATTTATTTTATTGTTTAAGATTGAAAATCCTTATTTATATTTATATTTATATATTTATTTAATTTTGTTTTTTAATATCAATGTTCCTTTGATTAAAAATAATTTTTTTTTATTTCTTTAGCTTAAACTTAGCTCTTTCTCTCTCTCTTTTGCTTGCTCATTCTTTCATTCCTATATTTGTCATATTTATTTAATTTGTGTTAATTTTTTTTATGAAATTCATTTTAGCTTTATATATGTTAAAAAAATATAATATTTTAATATCTGTTATAAAATATGAAAAATGATGGAATGTTAACTAACGGAACTAAAAAAAAAAAGATATCATCATATCTCTATCATATATACATCTAAGACAATACATTAGTTGATATTATGAATATATTTAAAAAGATGCAATTAATGTAATATACCATGTTTTTGCTTTGCAATAATTTTGTTGATTATTTTAACTACTGCCCATTTCGTGCGATTTAAAATTTGCATAAAAAGGCAATAAGTACGTTAAACTTCAGCTGCATATACTTTTAAATACATTAAATAGTTATTATATATATTTTTAAATACATTAAACGTTTTTTGCATACAATTGTAGGATAATTGCACTACTATATATCCTTTTTCACAAATATTTTTTTAATAGGTTTTAATATAGTTCTCAAAATTATTGTTTTGTAATGATATACTTGCTAATCATATTAATCTCATACTTTTTTTAGAACAGTCATTTGAATAAAGATAAGTTTCTCTAATTTTTACTGTATTTTTTGGATGCATTTATGTACTTGGCATGTCCTTTTTTATTCTTATAAGATTTTTTTAATAAGATTTTATTTCTTTTTATAGAAATTAGTGAATATTGCTTTCTTCTTTGATTTTATAAAATATTTATTGTATGTATACTTTTATAAATACATAGGGTAAGATTGGCGAAATCACACCACTTAAAGATTCGTAGAAATTATGAAGAGTATTCTTCAGTTTTTTACAGCACAATAAACTGCAATGTTTTCCCTTTCTTATTATTATTATAATAAGATATAATAATATTTATGTTATTATAACGTTTATAATGAAGATTTTATTAGTATGATGCAATGAGGAAATTCATTGCCCAAAAAAAATCACACCATATCAATAGTCCTCATTATGATAATTTAAAACATTATAATGCAAAAAATTTAAAAATTACACAAGAAAAGAAAAAAATTGTATTTTATTATGCTGTTAAAGTTAAAAACTTAAGAATAGGTTTTTCATAATTTCTGAAACATATGATAATTTCAAGAAGTAATTTAAGGAGTTTATACGTGAAACAAAATAAACACTTTGTAAATTTACAATATAATGAATGGAATAAATATGTAAGAAATGGAAAAATATTAGATAACATGCGATTTAAGAAGTTAGAGTGTGGCACGATTCAGGAAATTACATTATGGTGCGATTTACGAAACTAGAGCACTTTTATTTATTTTATTTATAAAAAAAAATGTAAAGCAAACTTTAATCCTATCAGTTTAATAATAATATTCTAATCACGACAAATGACAAGACTTAGATATTTAATTTATTAGCTATTTAACTTATTTTCTGTAATTCTGATATGAAATATGTTGAAAATAGCAATGCTATTTACGATTTTTTATTTATGTAAATAACAACACTCCTGTTGCACTTCATATTACGAATATGTAACAGAGTAATATTATAGTATCGCGTTCTT